ATAACATTGCTAAATAAGAAATGTACAAGATTTTTTGTGATTTAAGACCTGCAAAATATACGGTCTGTTGACAGCAAATCTGTCTGTTTACTTGTTCTGCACTACAAAATTGGAGAATGTTCTTACTATTTTATACTTGATCTCCAGGCTGTTGTATTTACTGATATTAGCTTAGACAAGGCAATGGAATATGATGATTATTGCCACAAGCATCAGCCTCCAATTGCTTTTATCAAATCTGAAGTTCATGGCCTTTTCGGTAGTGTGTTTTGTGACTTTGGTCCCAAGTTCACAGTTTTTGATGTTGATGGTGAGGATCCGCGTACGGGAATTATTGCATCTATTAGCAATGACAATCCTGCTCTTGTGGCATGTGTTGATGACGAGAGGCTTGAGTTTCAGGACGGAGATCTAGTTGTGTTTTCCGAAGTGCGAGGGATGACTGAATTGACTGATGGAAAACCAAGAAAAATAAAAAATGCCAGGCCATACTCATTCACCATTGAAGAAGACACCACGAATTATACTGCATATGAGAGAGGTGGTATTGTCACACAAGTAAAGGAACCTAAAGTCCTGAACTTCAAGACACTGAAACAAGCGCTGAAGGATCCTGGGGATTTTCTCCTGAGTGATTTCTCCAAATTTGACCGTCCACCTCTCCTTCATTTGGCATTTCAAGCGCTGGATAAGTTTATTGCTGATTTAGGACGCTACCCTGTTGCTGGATCTGAGGAAGATGCTCAAAAATTAATCTCTCTTGTTAATGATATTAATAATAGCTTGCCTGATGGGAAACTTGAGGAGATTGACCAGAAGCTTCTTCGGAACTTTGCTTTTGGTGCCAGGGCTGTGCTAAACCCCATGGCAGCCATGTTCGGTGGTATTGTTGGACAGGAGGTTGTGAAGGCTTGCTCAGGCAAATTCCACCCACTTTTTCAGGTTTGTCTAGCTTGAATATAAATTTAAGTACACTTATAACTTACATGCTTTACAGTAACTGTAATAATCAATTGATACGTTTTACCAGGACAGGACGAATAAATTTTCTTTCACATAGAATGTGTTGGTGTAAATTATCTGCAATTTAGAATTTCATTATTTTTTAATCTTTGGAGTTATAACCTGACATTGTTGTCGAATGTTAATTGGTTGAGGAATTTGGTGGCAGTTTTTCTATTTCGACTCTGTTGAATCACTTCCCAACGGACCATTGGATCCTGACGACTTAAAGCCCCTGAATTCACGCTATGATGCTCAAATCTCTGTATTTGGATCTAAGTTACAGGAGAAACTTGAGGATGCAAAAGTTTTCATTGTGGGATCTGGTGCACTGGGGTGTGAGTTTCTGAAAAATCTAGCTTTGATGGGCGTTTGTTGTGGAGATGGAGGGAAACTAACAGTTACAGATGATGATGTCATCGAAAAGAGCAACCTTAGCAGGCAGTTCCTTTTCCGGGATTGGAACATCGGGCAGGCAAAATCAACAGTTGCTGCCTCAGCTGCTAATTTGATCAACCCAAGTCTTCATGTTGAAGCTTTGCAAAACCGTGCAAGCCCTGAAACTGAAAATGTTTTTGATGATACATTCTGGGAGAACTTGAACGTTGTCATCAATGCTCTAGACAATGTGACTGCCAGGCTTTATGTTGACCAGAGATGCTTGTATTTCCAGAAACCCCTTCTGGAGTCGGGAACCTTGGGTGCCAAGTGCAACACTCAGATGGTAATCCCTCACCAAACGGAAAATTATGGTGCATCAAGGGACCCACCGGAAAAGCAAGCACCCATGTGCACAGTGCATTCATTCCCACACAACATTGACCATTGCTTGACATGGGCTAGATCTGAATTTGAGGGGCTGCTTGAGAAGACACCTGCTGAAGTTAATGCTTATTTGAGTAATCCAAATGAATATATATCTGCAATGAACAAAGCCGGTGATGCCCAGGCCCGGGACACTTTGGAACGTGTTTTAGAGTGTCTTGAAAGGGACAGATGTGACACCTTCCAGGACTGCATTACTTGGGCTCGCTTGAAGTAATAACCATCTCACTATTTTTTAGTTATCATTTTTTGACTATCAATTTCCCTTTTAAGGTTCTGATAGTAATACTCCCTGTGAATTCAGGTTTGAAGACTACTTTTCAAACCGGGTCAAGCAGTTGACATTTACTTTTCCCGAGGATGCTGTTACTAGCAGTGGGGCACCATTCTGGTCGGCACCAAAGCGTTTCCCACGCCCACTTCAGTTCTCTGTTCATGATTTAAGCCATCTTCAGTTTGTTACGGCAGGGGCTATATTAAGAGCAGAGACCTTCGGCATCCCAATTCCAGACTGGGTCAATTCTTCTGAAAAGTTAGCTAATGCTGTTGAGAAAGTGATTATCCCTGATTTCCTGCCAAAAAAAGATGCAAAAATTGTGACAGATGAGAAAGCAACTAGCCTATCTACTGCGTCCATTGATGATGCTGCTGTCATCAGTGAATTGGTTATGAAGTTAGAAAGGTGCCGAGAAAAGTTGACACCAGGTTACAAGATGAACCCTATTCAGTTTGAAAAGGTGCGTCTGTCCATCTGTTTGTCTCTGTGTGTATACGTTTGCATGCATTCCCTCTGTCATTTTTGTGCATCCTGGCCTTGAATATGGTGAAATTACTCATAAATTCAATAATAGCAGGGCTGGTGTGTCAGGAATCTTAGAAAAGAAAATGTACGCTGGGTATTTACAGCCAGGAAACATAAACCTATCCTTGCATTTAGGAAAATAATGAAACTGATTATCTATCATTATTGACAAATCTGTCGAGAAATGCTTCTTGAATAAGCACCTCGCACTTGTGGACACTAATAGCTCCCTTTGAGTTCTAATGTGCAGGATGATGACACAAACTATCATATGGACCTGATAACTGGTTTTGCCAACATGAGAGCGAGAAACTATAGTATTCCTGAAGTCGATAAGCTCAAGGCCAAGTTTATTGCAGGGAGAATAATCCCTGCGATTGCAACTTCCACGGCAATGGCCACAGGATTTGTTTGCCTCGAGCTGTATAAGGTTCTAGACGGACAGCACAAACTTGAAGATTATCGTAACACATTTGCAAACCTAGCACTTCCTTTGTTCTCAATGGCTGAGCCTGTTCCACCCAAAGTCATCAAGCATCAGGATTTGAGTTGGACTATTTGGGACAGGTGGATTCTAAAAGACAACCCGAGTCTTCGAGAGTTGCTTCAATGGCTCAAGAATAAAGGCTTGAATGCTTATAGCATTTCCTTTGGTAGTTGCTTGCTTTACAACAGTATGTTCCCAAGGCACAAAGAGCGAATGGATCGGAAGTTGGTTGATCTGGTCAAGGACGTGGCGAAAGCTGAGCTGCCACCATACCGGTGTCATTTTGATATCGTAGTGGCATGTGAGGATGATGAAGACAATGATATTGATATTCCTCAAATTTCCATATACTTCAGATAGATTTAGTTTACTCCACCTACGTGTTGGTTAATCAAAAGATAATTTGTGGTTGTATATGAATATCATGTTCCATGATAAACCTTGATCTTGAATTCGGTTGATTTCAATTACAAAACTTGATACTTGTTACATGTACTTGCATGTAAATTTGAAAACTGTGTAGCTTTATGTTGAAGTGCCCTGCTCTAGCCTTGCTTGGGACAGAGCTGACTTTTATTGGTCATTTCCTGCTTAATATTTTGAATTTTGTTGGCTGCGAAAAAAATTATTCTGACCTTGGTGAATGATTATAGCGATCCTGGGTCATATATCATACATATGAATGGTGTTATATTTTTGGTCCTAGATCTTATGTGCTTATATGTTCCAATGTTTTGTTGTTGGAACATTCTTGTCTGCAACCATTTCGGTTATCTGTTATTCTCAATGTCACTAAAAAAAGGATTTAAATATAAAGAATTCAAGTATACATGCTCCCTACAGTGGGTTTCATACGT